AACATCTTCACTAAGAGGGGCTAATGCCAGTAAATAAGAAATTTAAAAATTAGATTAAAATCAATGTAAATATCCAAAAGAAACAGAAAACATGTTAAATTTCTGAATTAAAATCTGAGTTTGAATGTGCAAATTATGCAAACCCAAGGCACTTTTATGTGCAAACAGATCTACAAGCCTTCCAAATATTTGATAGGTCTAAATGTAACACTTAAGGAAATCCTTGCCAAATCCACTGGTTTATAGTCTAAGTCAGGATCAAGGAATAGAGATAAAGGGCTGGGTAAATAATTGAAGGATAACTTTGGCAGTTTCCTAAAATGCCAATACTGAGGTGTGACAACCTCAAATCAAGGCCAAAGAAGAAAAATTAAAAAGCGATAAAAATATCTATCAAGTAATTCTTTCTAACAGCCTTCTTTCCTGCCTCCATAATAACTATTTTATGACAACAGCCTCAATTATCATGTTGAATAGGGGTGTTCTGTTTTGCTTAAAAAATATATATATATACATATATATATATATTTATATTTATATAAAGATTTATTACTAGAAGCTATAAGGATATTACCATCTACTTTTGAATACATAGCCACCTATTAGCAGGATTACATTTAGCAGCATTGCCTGTCACTGAGTCTAGGCAACTGGGTGAATTATGGCAGTGGAGGAGGAGGGAAGATGGTCCATCAGGCCGAATAGATGCCCCCAAGGAGGAGCTAGGAATTTCTACTTTGGCTCTATGGGTTCTCTGCTGAGTTAATTGTGTTACAAGTCATACAGGGCTTAGAACCAGAGCAAGCTTTCCTGCATAAAGCACAACCCGACAGACACTGACATCATTTCCACTGGAGGACAAACCGGAATGGAAAGTTCAGGCAAAGAAGTACCCAAGAGCTTTGATCAGACACCCGCTGAGGACACTTTCCCTGTAGTATGCGGTGCACCTAGGTGCAGGCAATACACAGAGATGGCAAGAAATCCTTCCTGTCCCATATACAAACCGTAATTATAATAAATCAGGTTGCTGCTTTAATGCAGGGATGTACAAAGTGCTACGAAAGCACAGGAGAAGGAACTGTGACCCAAGTCTGCCCATGGGTGCCTCCAACTAGGGAAACATTCCATACATAGCAAGAAGAATAAGGAGGAGGCCTGATGGGCTTAGCAGCCCTCCAATTTTGGGAGAGGTAGGAGGATTAGCAGTATTCCGTGCTATAAAAATAATTGGTCTTTGTAATTAACTACTCTGCAATCTTCATCAACATTAACTAGATAATTCCCTGGTTATTCCTGTAACTCATTCTCTTAAGAACTCATTCATTTAATTTGTAAATGTGATCTTCCTACTGAAATGTCCATAAACAGGAGACTAGCTGAACAAAGAATGCTATGTGCATATTATTGATTACTATGGAGCAATTAAAAAGAACAAACTAGGCCAGGCATCGTGGCTTGTGCCTGTAATGCCAGAAACTTTGGGAGGCTGAAGCAGGCGGATCATTTGAGGTCAGGAGTTCAAGACCCACCAATATGGTGAAACCCTGTCTCTACTAAAAACACAAAAAAATCAGCCAGGTGTGGTGGTGCGAGTCCCAGCTACTCGGGAGGCTGAGGCAGGAAAATGGCTTGAACTGGGAGGCAGGAGTTGCAGTGAGCTGAGATCATGCCACTGCACTCTAGCCTGGGTGACAGGGCAAGACTCTGCCTTTAAAAAAAAAAAAAATTACGTGTAAGGTCTTCAATGTCTCCTAATGATAGTGATAAGGAAGCCATCAGCTTTTAGGTTTTCACCTAGAATCCTGACTCTAAACTCTCAGCACTAACTTGGCCACTAAGGCCTGCTAATCGGGATCCAGCTTCGTGTTTGTCCTAAAGACATCCTGAGCATCTCCAGACAATGCAAACACATGGAGTGAGCAAAGGGCAAGCTGCAGTGAACTTGCATCATTTTTGGTTTGCTCTCAGCCCTAATTTTAAAAGGTTTCCTAAGTTACAGCTTTCTTTGTTGCACAGAAACACTGTAGGGCTGTTCTTAAATAGGGAACAGTTTAAAACAAATCCTTCAGCTCCTAAAATCTCACTATAAATGGGTCTCTGGAAACACTCAAAAGAAAAGCATTTTTATGCTACTCTTTTAAAGCAAATTTAGAAATAAAAATCATAACTTTTTCCAAAGGCTTCTTTTTTTTTTTTTTTTTTTTTTTTTTTTTTTGTTTTTTTTTTTTTTTTTTTTTTTTTTTTTTTTTTGAGACGGAGTTTCGCTCTTGTTACCCAGGCTGGAGTGCAATGGCCCGACCTCGGCTCACCGCAACCTCTGCCTCCTGGGTTCAGGCAATTCTCCTGCCTCAGCCTCCTGAGTAGCTGGGATTACAGGCATGCACCACCATGCCCAGCTAATTTTTTGTATTTTTAGTAGAGACGGGGTTTCACCATGTTGACCAGGATGGTCTTGATCTCTTGACCTTGTGATCCACCCGCCTCGGCCTCCCTAAGTGCTGGGATTACAGGCTTGAGCCACCGCGCCCGGCCCAAAGGCTTCTTTTAAAGAGTTCCGTGTAGGATCCCTGTTGATTACCTGCTTCTTACTTCTAACCAACACTGTAGGATTCGTTTTTACAATAGGAAAGGGACTTATTTCTCCACTTTAAGTGCAGCTAAGCCTGCTTTACACTGGATCATGCTATTCCTTTCTTTGCCTGCACCACATGCCACATACATCTCAAAAAATGTTTTAATGCCAGGAAATGCAGTCTTTCTGCTGGGAGTAATAACACCCCTGTTTAGCTTATTACTGTCAAAAATGATGGTGCATTAGGGGCAATTAATGCTAATGAAAGCTTCCAAAACCCATGCTTCCCCTGACAGCCAGTCCAATGTCAATGAGGGCTATTACAGGACTTCCACACCAAACCACCCTTAATGCACTCTGACCAATGTGTCGAGCATCTCTTGGGAGGACAAACAGGACCCAATGACCTGCTCTGAGCCTCTAAGTGTGACTATTACTGAAATTACAAAGAAAAGTTGCATCTATGGCAAAGGTCAGAGCTGACTCACTCTCTCCCTCTCTCCTTGCCTCTCCCTTTCTCTCTTACACACACACAAACACACACACTGCGTGTACACGTGCGCAAACACACACACACACACACACACGCACACACACACACACACACACACACAGAGTTCTAATGTAATAAGGAGGGAGAGAGAAGATTTTGTAATGCTTACTCCATCACCAGGAAGGAAAAGGACAGCAAATGGCCTCAATAGGGCCTTATTATCATTGCATGAACAACAGCTATTAGCCATTTCTGCTATTTTGTACCTAGATAATTTTCCCAACAATCATAGAAACACTTGGACAAACACCAGATTTGATGTTACAAAAAGCCAAGCTG